GGCTACTATCTTTGCAACTACCTATGAATATGTAATTATTTCAAAATTTAAATTGTAAAACAAAAACTAAATGGAATTTGAAACAAATGGAATGTGTGAACCATGTTTCAATCTGGTTTTATGCAAACAAACTGAAAAGATGGTTATGACAGGTCAATGGAACAAAAGATAGACTGAAGAAATAGACCCCAAATATATATGGTCAATTAACTTTTTACTAACTTGCAAAAGCAATTCAGTGGAGAAAGGAAGTCTATTCAATAAATGGTGCTGGAAAAATTAAATATTTATATGCAAAAAAATGAACTTTTACATATATCTTTTACCTTATATAAAAATTAACCCAAAATAGGTAATAGACCTAAGTGTATGATCGAAAACAGGGAAACTTTAAGAAGAAAACGTAGGAGAAATTCTTTGTGACTTTAGATTAGACAAAGATTTCTTAGATAAGAAACAAAAAGCATGAGCAATAAAATTAAAAAGTTAATAAATTGAGCTTCATCATATTTTGGAAGTTCTACTCTTCAGAAGATAATGTTTAAAGAATGAAAAGGTAAGTTATAGATTGGGAGAAAATATTTGCAAAGCATATATCTGATAGAGAACTTGTATCCAGGATATATAAATAACTCTCAAAACTCAGTGATAAGAAAACACGCACCTTAGTGAAAAAAAGGGCAAAACATACACTTCACCAAAGAAGACATACATGTGGCAAATAAGCACAGGAAAAGAAATGCAACATAATTAGTAATTACAGAAACGTAAATTAAAACCTCCACATACTTATAAGAATGGCCCAAATTAAAAAGACTGACCATACCAAGTGTCAAAGATTTGGAGCAACTGGAACTCTCATACACAGCTGGTAGAAAGATACAATGGTACAACCACTTTGGGAAACAGATTGGCAGTTTCTTAAAGAGTTAAACATACACCTACCATATTATCCAGCCATTCCACTCCTAGAATTTTAACAAAGAAAAATAAAAGCATTTGTCCACACAAACATTTATACATGAATGTTCATAGCAGCTATATTTGTAATTGCCAAAAACTTGAAGCAACCCAGGTGTTCATCAATAGGCAAATAGACAAAGTGTGATATATCCATACCATAAAATACCATTCAAAAATATAAAGGAATGAACTATTAGTATACACAGCAACTTGAATGAATATCAAAATAATTATGCTGAATGAAAGAAGTCAGACCAAAAAATACATATTGCATGATTGAACATATATAAAAATCTACAAAATACAAATTAAAGTATATGACAGAAGGAGATCAATGTTTGCCTGAGGGTGGAGAGGGAGAAAAGAAGTAAGAGGGAGGGATTAGGAGGGGCAAGAGGACATTTTGCAACTGTATGGGTATTTTCATGAGTGTATATATGTAAAAATGTATCCAATTACGCAGTTTAAATACATGCAGCTTATTGTATGTCAATTGTACCTCAATAAAGCTAATTTACAAGGATGGGAGCATATTGAAAGGAAATGGGAACCACAATGAAAGAGCAGCCAATGGCTAAAGCTAGAATACTTTGAGCAACAAAAAATAATAATAGTATTGTACCGTAACCCATAAAATTAAAAAGAATAATTCATGAGTCCATACTGATATAAAAAGATAATTGAATATATAAATAAATATGGAGAATGATCACCCATCTTAACAGTAGAAATCCAAGTAACAAATGTAGAAGAAAATAGAAAAATCACCGTTAGGTAACACTACAATGATAATAATTTCAGGCAAGATCCGTGGATGATTGCATAGTCTCCCCCATAAGAGATTTATTAATTACAACGAAAAAAAATAGTAACTTTCCACTGGAGAAACTTAGCAGAAAGCAACTTAACCAAGTGATCTAAGTTACATCATCAGTCATAAGGCCTAGCAACATCATGTACCACATGATATTAGGCATTCAGAATGACACAATACCATTTCTGTGGTATTCCTTCCAAAAATGCAAAACCTCAAAGTAATTATGAGAAAACATCAGATAAATCCAAATTGAGAGACTTTCTACGAAATAAATGAAAGGTATTTTTCAAAACTATCAAGGTCATGAAAGACAAGGAAAGACTGAGGAGTTTAAAAGATTGCAGGACAATAAGAATACATAAGATTTTAAATGCCGCGTGAGACCCTGATTTAGATTCTGGATAAAAAATAAATCAATGAGTGTAAAACCTGGTGAAATTTAAATTGTCTTTAATTAAGAGTACTTGATCATTTTTCACTTCCTGGATTTCATGATTCTACTATGATTAAGTAAGGTTAACAGCAGAGGAAGCTGAGTGAAGGGTATACGGGAGCTCTATACCATTTTTGCAAATTTTCTGAAGTCTAAATTTACTTCAAATTGTTAGGATCCCTCAAGTTGATTCAGACTCATAGTGACTCCATGTGACAGACTTACCGGCCTGACAGACTGGAGGAACCCCTGAGACTATGGCTCCCGGACACCCTGCTGACTCAAAACTGAAGCCACTCCCAAAGCCCACTTTTCAGACAAAGATTAGACAGGCCTATAAAACAAACGATAACACACATGAGGAACGTGCTTCTTAGTTCAATCAAGTATATGAGACCAAATGGGCAACACCTGCTGAAAAGCAAAGACAAGAAGGCAGAAGGGACAGGAACACAGGAAGAATGGACATGGGGAACCCAGGGTTGAAAGGGAAAGGGGGAGAGTGCTGACACAATGCGGTGATTGCAACAAATGTGACAAAAAAATTTGTGTATAAATTTTCGACTGAGAAACTAATTTGTGCTGTAAACTTTCACCTAAAGTACAATAAAAATTTTTAAAAAGAAAGAGAGATACAGAGAGAGAAGACAGAAATTATTATTATCAGTAACAAAAGAAGGAAGAACACTTGATATCCACAGACATTAAAAAGGATAATTAGAGAATAGTATAAATATCTTTATGTCAATAAATTTGATAACAAAGATGAAAAGGGAAAATTCTATAAAACACACATACATACAACTTTAAAACAAACTGAAGAAAAACATAAAAGCCAAATGACCCAGTTTAATATAGATTTTTCGTAAAATGCTGTCGACCCAGTTTTGTGGCCCTAGCCTCAAACTGACTGGTGCCCTTCTTCAACAGCTGATCAGGTCCACACTCCAACCATTCTACCTCCCTTATTGAGCTCTCACACTCTGGGGTCACTATGCACCCACCCTGATCAACTAGGGCCAGGTACCAAACAACTAGGGACAGCCCCTAAACCCCAGAGGCTACAGAATTATTAAAAATATCCAATCCCCAGGAAGCCTGTGAAACCTGGTAACCCCACCCCACTTGCTATACATAAACCATCTCCTGCAACTCCATCTCACTGATACTCTGTCCCTAGCTGCAATCCCCTGTGGGGTCCAGCTTGGTAACTTTCTCTCATTTGAAGCTGTAAGTAACAATGAATAAGCCTTTCATCTCTCCCAGTGTCTTCGTGTTGTTTCCTGCCATCCAAAGAGCCTATAATCATACCTAAGAGCATATGATAGTAAAACACCTATAGTTCACCCTGTAATTCAAAGGAAATGAATTCATAAAACCATTGCACAAAGAAAACAAAGATTAGTGAAGACTACCTTCACTAGTAAATTCTATCAAATTTTTAAGGGCAAAATAATACCGAGTCTACAAAAACTCTTTCAGAAAATAGAGGTCGAGCAACATTTCCCATCTAATTTTATTAAGTTTGAAATATACTGGCACCAAAACCAGATGGTGGCTTTACAAGAAAGGAAGTAATACACCAATATTCCAAGAATACAAAGTTGGTTTAACGTCTGAGAATTAATCAGTATAATAACCATATTTTAAAGATGTATTAAATATTATCACATCAATAGATGCAGAGAAATTCAACGCTAATTTATGATAAAATCAGCAAACTAGAAATAAAATGGAACGTCCATGATATATGTATGATTACATCATACATCTAAAAATTTGCCATTGTGTCAATTCGAATTCATGGTAACTCCATGTGTTATAAAAGAGAACTGTTCCATAGGGTTTTCTTGGCTGTAATCTTTACAGAAGCAGATTGACGTAATTGTGAACTAAATGTGAGAATGACAGCAGACTTCCCATCAGAAGTTGTGTAGGCCAAAAAAAAAAAAAAAATGGAATTCCATTAACGTGTTGTCTTAGTCATCTAGTGCTGCCATAACAGAAATACCACAAGTGGATGGTTTTAAAGAAGAGAAGTTTATTTCCTTACAGTAAAGTAGCCTAAAAGTCCAAATTCAGTGTGTCAGCTCCAGGAGCAAGCTTTCTCTCTCTCAGCCTTCTCATCAGTGTTCCCCCAGTATAGGAGTTTTTTGGCGCAGGGACCCCGGTCCAAAGGACGCACTCTGCTCCCAGCACTGCTTTCTTGATGGTATGAGGTCCCCCGTCTCACTGCTCACTTCTGTCTTTTATATCTCAAGAGATTGCCTCAGGACACAATCCAGTCTTGTAGATCAGGTCCTGCCTTACTAACACAACTGCCACCCATCCTCCCTCATTAACATCATAGAGGCAGGTTTACAACATACAGGAAAATCACACAGTACCGGGAATCATGGCCTAGCCAAACTGATACACACATTTTTTGGGGGACATAATTCAAACTATGACACGTGCTGAATGAAAAAAAAAGTTACATGAACCTAGAATTCGATGAACACCAAAAATATCCTTCAAAAAGAACAGTACAGACCTTGGTTGCTAAATACTGTTTTTCAATTAAAAAAAACAGAGCTCCCAGAGAAGTGGCTGATTTTAGGGCCAGGGCAAGAAAAATGCAAGATGAGTATAGAGTACCTTGCAGTACCAGAAAGTAAGACCATGATCAAAAAATAAAAGGAAGGTAGCATGTCAAAGGAACATAGACCCCAACCTGAAAAAACTTCCAGTTGCCAAAGCTGGAACAACTTTAGCAACAAAATAAATATGATGAAAGGAAATGATTGATTGCTTTGGCAGCAAATATACTAAAATTGGAACAATATAGAGAAGATTAGCATGGACCCTGTGCAAAGATGACACACAAATTCATAAAGCCTTCATGTATTTCATGATCTTGTATACAGAAAAGTCTTAAGGAATCCATAAAAAAACTATTAAACGAATAAACAAGTTAAGCAAGTTTTCAACGTACAAGATCAATATACAAAAATCAATTGTATTTCTATACACAAACGATGAACAATCCAAAAAGGAAATTAAGAAGTAAATTCCATTTACAATAGCATCAAAAAGAATAAAATACTTAGGAATAAATTTAACAAAAGAAGTGCGAGACTCATGCACTATAAACTCAAAACACCATTAAAAGAAACTAAAGAAGACCTAAATAAATGAAAAGATATCCATGTTCATGAACTGGAAGACTAATATTGTTAAGATGACATTACTCTCCAAATTGGTCAACAGAGTCAATGCAATTCCTATAAAAATCACAGCTGACTTCTTTGTAGAAATTGACAAACTAATCCTCAAATTCTTAAGGAAATGCAAGGGACTCAGAATAGCCAAAACTTGAAAAAGAAGGACAAAGTCAGATGTCTCACATTTCCCTATTTCAGTGCTATTCCGTATTCCAGTGCTATTCCCTATTCCACATGCAAGAGTCAATTTGTACTCTTATACAAACTATATGCAAAAATTAAGTCAAAATGGATTACATGAACATAAATGTATAGATAAAACTATAAAACTCTTAGAAGAAAACCTAGGAGTCAATCTTTGTGACTTTGGATTAGGCAATGGTGTCTTATATATGACAGCAAAAGCACACACAAAAAAGAAAAAGATTAATTGATCTTCATGACAACTAAAAACATTTGTGCTTCAAAGGAGACCATCAAGAAAGTGAAAAGACGATTCATAGAATGGGAGAAAATTTCTGGAAATCTTATATCTTAGAGGTGACTTGTATCCAGAATAAACTTGAAAAAACTCTTAACAATTCAACAATAAGAAGACCAATAATCAAATAAAAAAAAATAAGCAAAGGAGTTGAATAAAACACTTCTCAAAAAAGATATATGAATGGCCAATAAGCACATGAAAAGATGCTCAATATCATTAGTCATTAGGGAAATGCAAATCAAAACCACAATGAGATACCACTTCACACCCACTAGAATGGTTATAATAAAAAAGACAGCAAGTATTTTCAAGGATATGGAGAAATAGGAGCACTCATACACTGCTGGTAGGAACGTAAAAGGGTGCAGCCACTTTGGAAAAGACTTTGGAAAACTGGTAAAATGAAAATAAAGTCTGGAGTTAGTTAACGGTATGTAGATATGTTAGTTTCTTAGTTTTGAAAAATATACCATGGTAATGTAAGATGTTATTAGGAGAGGAAACTGAGTGAGGAGTACACAGAAACTCTCTGTACTATATTTGCAACTTTTCTGAAGAGTAAATTTATTCAAAATTTTAAAGTTTCTTTTTTAAAAAATAAAGAATAAAGTTCCCACCTAAATAAAAACCAATAGAATTTGTCACAAACTGATTTGGACTATAAGAAATGTTAAAGGAAGTTCTTTAGGCAAGAAGAAAATCATACCAAGTGGAAACACGGACCTATACAAAGGAATGAAGAATGATAGAAAAGGTAACTATATTCTCAATTGTAAATATTTAAAAAATATAATTGTTTATAGCAAAAACAATAATAATATCATGTAAGGTTTATAATACTTGTAAAAATAAACTGTATGACAGCAATAACATAAAGGCCAGAAAGGGAGAACTTGAAGTATACTGTTGCTCAGTTTTTACATTATACCCAAAGAAGTATAATATTATGTGAAGGTAGACTGTGACAAGTTAAAGGTTGTGTACTCCAAATCCTAGAGCAATGGCCCTAAAGATGTGTTCCCTGGACCAGCAATATCGTAATCACCTGTTAAAAAAACCCCAACCCGCTGCCGTGGAGTCCATTCCGACTCAAAGCGACTCTGTAGTACAGAGTAGAACTGCCCGATAGGGTTTCCAAGGAGTGCTGGTGGATTCGAACTGCCTACCTTTTGGCTAGCAGATAAGCTCTTAACCACTGTGCCAATAGGGCTCCATATAATCACCTGGCAACTTGTTAAAATGCTAATTATCAGGCCTATCACCTGAATTCAGAAACTCCAGCGTGGGACTCAAAAATCTGGGTTTTATCAAGCACTTCTGATGATTCTTACGACACTACAATTTGAGAATCACTACCATAGTGCAACTTAAAAAAAAAAATACACCAAATGGTCCAGCTAATAGAACAATGTTGTTGTTAGTTGCTATGGAGTTGGCTTCAACGCATGGTGACCTTATGTATAGCAAAGTGAAACATTGCCTGGTCCTCTGCCATCTTCGAGGAGCCCTCGTGGTGCAGTGGTTAAGCGCTCGGCTGCTAACCGAAAAGTCGGCGGTTTGAACACACCAGACGCTCCACGGGAGAAAGATGTGGCAGTACGCTTGTGGAAAGATTTATATCTTTGGAAACTCTACGGGGCAGTTATACTTTGTCCTACAGGGTCGGTATGAGTCGGAGTCGACTTGATGGCAGTAAGTTTTGTTGATTTTGGGTGCCATTTCATGATCTTTGATATGTTTGAGCCCGTTGTTGAGGCTATTGTGTGAATCCATCTCATTGAGGGTTTTCCTCATTTTTGCTGACCCCTACTTTACCAAACATGATGCAAAATCAACACACAAAAATCGTTTGGGTTTCTGTACACCATCAAGGAACATTCTGAAAAGGAAAGAAAACAATTCCATTTATAGTAGCATGTAAAAAACACTTAGGAATAAATTCAACCAGGGAGGTCAAAGATGTACATGGAAAACTATAAAACATTACTGAAAGAAATCAAGGAAGACCTGAATAAATGGATTGGAAGACTTACTACTGTTAAGATGTCAATACTACCCAAAACGATCTATATAGATTCAATGTATTCCCTATCAAAATTCCAACAGCCTTGTTTGAAGAAATAGACGAGCCAATCCTCAAATTTTTACGGAACTACAAGGGCCACCAAATAGCCAAAGCAGTCTTACAATAAAGAATAAAGTAGGAGTCTCTTCAACAAATGGTTTTGGGTCAAAACACATTAAAGACCTCACGGAAGGGCCAAAGAAAAGTCACTATGCCCAAAGAAATTAAAGTAACTCCTTACCGTATGTGCTTCAACAGACAAGATAATCGGTTTGAGAGTCGAACTCACAGAGGGATCCCCAATCCTTTAACAGGAGAGGAGTTAAAGGACTCATAAAAATGCTATTACCTGAGTGGGGATGGTGGAAATCCATAGGTAAGGCTCAATCTCAATCTGAGGTCCGTCACCAAAAACTGTCAAATAAAAAACATACCTGGATTTGGGAAAGGAGACTTTATTTGAAAAGATTATTGCAAGGAGGGGGGAGGAGCTACTATAATAAGGGGAGGGACGCTATTGCAACAAGACTGCTCAACAGTCAAAAAACAAACCTGGATTTAGATAAGGAGAGATTTTATTTGAAAGGATTATTCCTAGAAGGTTGAAAGGAACTATTACAACGGAGGGAGGGGTCTACTGCAATAGGAAGAACACTCTATGAGGTCTGCAAACTTCTGCAAAGCTGGGCAGAAAGCGGGTTTCTTTTATAGGAAGGTGGGAACAAGGCTAGAAAGAGTTGGATGTGGGAGAAGTAGGATGGGGTGTAAGTGGGATGAACTGAGGAAGGTGGCAGTGATAGGGCAGTAGATCATAGAATATTTCACCCCAAGGTCAGCTTCATGGCGACTCTAAGGGATCATAACGATTCAGAATGGACTGGCAACCAACAACAGGGCCAGCCTAAATTGGGGAGCAGGTTGTATTCTGGTTTAGGCTGAGAAGGTGTCAAAGTAAAGGGACCCGGAGGTGTGAGAGAGCTTAATTAACTTAATTAACTACTTAACTTAATTAACTACAGTTTGGTCAAGTCAAGGTAGCCAGTATTTTGTCCAGATTGGTCAGTTGGTACAAACAGTTCAGCTAATCTATTTATGAGGAAAAGAATGGGAATTTGGTGGGTCTACGTCTGACATTGTCATAGGTAAACAAGAGAGAATTCGTAAGTCTTAACTACTTGGGGAAGGATGGTTTCTTGCAGTAAACCGTTTCTGAAACACAAAGTCGTGGGGGAATTTCTTTAAACATTGCTTTGCAGGATCACAGGGCTCAGGCAAAGTTCAACATTGTCAAAATGCAGAGAAATCTCTCCATGGATTCAAACAGAAGCTGAAGAGGTACAGAAGTAAATAAATGCTGGTTTCTCGGGTGACTCCATGCCTAGCTCCCTGCGTTTTCTGGGACCTAATGAAGATGTGCTAGCGGAAGAAGGCACTAGGCGCCATTAACGACGAGGCCTGACGTGACCAGCCGTGGCAAGCCCCGCCCCCTTGCGCGCTCCCGAGCTCCTCGGGTCTGCGCGGAGCCCTCCTCGGCGCGCGCCCGATCGCTCCACGAAGGAGACAGAGAGAGGAGGGTGCGATCCCTGCGGCGCAGTGGTGGCTCCCTCTGAGCGTGAGGGGGCACAGGGGCGGCGGAATTCCGGGTCTGAGGGGCTCCGGCGTACCGGCAGCGGTGGAGCCCGCGGGCTTTGAGGGAATTGAGGAGGAGGCCGTGAGGCGACACCGCGGCGCGGCCATCTCCGTCGGCCGCGCCCGGAGGTGAGATTCCTGCTGCCTCGCCCGACTTCAGCGGGTGAGGGGTTGGGGCGGGCATTTCCCTGGCGAGGCTGTGGAGGTCGCTCCCGCGGGCGAAGCGCCATGGGCTTGTCTTTGTCTGGATAAATCCCAGGTCTGGGGGTTTCGGACCCCTCGTCTGCGGCACAGGCAAGGGCTCTCTCGGTCCGCGGCCGGGGCGAGGCTCCTGCCCTGCCCAGCCCAGGTGAGCCGCGGATCACAGTCCCTGACTGGACTGGCTGCTTTAATGGGGAATGCAGGAAGGTTGAACTGAAAAGTGCGTAATTTGGTTTTCTCTTTCAAAGGGGTCTCAGAAATTCCGAGTTATGTGCTGTCAAAGTGTTTCAGTTTCCAAAGGCGTACATTGCAAAAACGCAATTCAAAAATGCAAAGTATGTGTGTTTTCGATTCTCTCGAAGGTTTTTAGGTGGACATTTCATGGTTCACTTCACCCGTCTTCCGTAACTCGCTTTCTTTGATATTTTATAGGTCTGATGTTCTGTTTATATATATATATATATATATACATATATATATACATTTCTATGTATCTGTTTTTCTTTTCACTCTCGGTAATAAAATTATTACTTTCCAGAAAGAAAAAAGGAAATATTGGTGTGACGTCTACTGTTGGTTCCTTAGTACGTAATGTGAAGTAATTAAAAAATAAAGATAGAGCGCTGATAGTCTGTACTGATGTTAGTGCAGAAGAGAACAGTGTGGAATCATAAGTAAGATATAAGTGATTGTATATGCGACGTGAAAATCAGCTTTATTTCATAGTCATGGCTCAACTGTCTAATTTTGGAGTGTTTATAATTATTTAAATTGTAGTCTAATTTTATTTTTGTTTACTAGGGAAAAACTCTTTAAAAGTTTGTTTTGTGTCTTCTAAGTGCTGAAAGTTGTTTTGGTTTAAAAACAATTAAATTTAATGAAATTTGAGCACATAGGTATAATACTAAATTTAGTGCTAAGTACTGGTGGAACCCAAAAATGAGTGAGAATTGTGTACAGAGAGTGATTAAGCAAACAAATTATAATGATGCAATGCAGAATACAACAGTAACAGAAACTACTGCTTATTGAGCATGTACTCTTAACCGGGCACTGCGGTAAATACTTTATGTGCATATTTTAATTAATACATACTTAGTATTAATTATTTAATACATACTTTGGTAAGTTAATAACCTATCATTCAAATAATAACTATTACCTGCTAAGTGCTAAGGATATGACATTGGCCACTGCAGACTCTGCTGTTAAGGAATTTACGGTCTCACTGGAGGAAACATATTAAATAATCTCACAGATAAATGTGTAATAGAAGCTAAAAAGGAAGAATGTAAGTGTTGTGAGAACATGTAAAGGGAACTTATCCCTGCTGGGGAAATCAGGTGTGGTTTCCTAGGAAAGTAACCTTTGATCAGAGATACTATGGATAAATAGAATGTGGTGGAGGTGACTCCCAAAGGGGAGAAGGTCCCTGCAAAGGAAATACCTTCCAAAGAGGCTTAGGGAAGATGACACATTTGGGAAATTTAAACATCTGTAGGGTAGAAAGCAAAAGGGAGCTGTGATACAGTAGGTTAGAGCCAGATAGCTCCTGCAGGGCTTTTTAAGCAATGTTAAGGATTTGGGACTGACTTTTTTTTTTTTTTTTTAACTTTTATGTAGAAAATTTCAAACATTCGGATGTAGTGAGAAGAGTACAATGAATCCCATTTAACATTACCCAAAGGATTTGAACCTTACTCTGAGGGCAATGAGAAGTCGTTGAAGGGGGTTAAGCAGAGGAGTTTTAAAATCAGATTTGTATTTGAAAAAGGTCACTCTGACTACTGTGTAGAAACTGGGTTGAAAAGGGGTGAGAACGGTTGCAAGGAGACAAACGAGAGATGATGATACTTGAGACAAGGGTGGTGGCTGTGAAGATAGTGTGAATCCTAAGCGTACCTACCTGAGCTCCCCTTGCTTTGTAGTAATTCTGTATTCACATCTATTAGTGGAACCATGGAAGGTTTTCTAAAGCAGATTGTCTTTGAGATGGGTGGGCTTTGTAACAGTTCAGTATGGAGCCCTGGAAGAATTTCTTGGTGTCAGAGGGTGGCTGACTCAGTGACCTTGACAATCTGTAAATTCTACCTATCCTTTAGGGTTTTTCTCGTTTAAATTTCTGTTGTCACTACCACTTTGGTCCTTGTTAGTTGTTCTTAGTAGCCAACTCTGACAACCTTATGTATAACGGAATGAAATATTGCTGTTGGGTCCTGTACCATCTTCATGACATGTGATATGTTTGAGTCCATTGTTGTGACTGTTGTGTCAATCCATCTCATTGAGGGTTTTCCTCATTTTCACTGACCCTTTACTTTACCAAACGCTGATATCCTTTTCCAGTGATTGGTCTTTTCTGATGACATGTCCAAAGTAAGCAAGCTTAAGTCTTCATCCTCGTTTCTAAGGAGCATTCTGGTTGTGTTTATTGTAAGACTGATTTGTTGTTCTGCTGATGCAAGCCCAACCAAACCCGTTGCCATTGAGTTGATTATCTGACTTATAGTGACCCTACAGGACAGAGTAGAACTGCCCCATAAGGTTTCCAAGGAGCAGCTGGTAGACTTGAACTGCTGGACTTTTGGTTAGCAGCCATAGCTCTTAACCATTGTGCCACTAGGTCTCCATTCTCCAGATAGACCACGATATAGTCAATATTCTTCACCAGCACCGCAGTTGGAATGCATCAGTTCTTCTTCGGTCTTCCTTTTTCCTTGTCCAGCTCTCCTATGCATTTGAGGTGATTGCAAAGACTATGGCTTGGGTCAAATTCTCCTTAGTCATCAAAGTGACATCTTTGCTTTTTAAAACTTTAAAGTAATCTTTTGCAGCAGATTTGCCCAGTGCAATCTATCATTTGATTTCTTGACTGCTACTTCCATGGACATTGATTGTTGATCCAAGTAGAATGAAATCATTGACGGTTTCATTTTTTTTCTTCATTTATAGTGATGCTTATCAGTCTAGTTGTGAGAATTTTTGTTTTCTTCACACTCAGTCATAATCCATGCTGACAGCTGTAGTCTTTGACCTTCATCAGTCAGTGCTTCAAGTTGTCTTCATTTTTGGCAAGCAAGGTTGTGCCTATTTGGGGCCTTACCCATTGCCATTGAGTTGATTCTGACTCATAGCTACCCTGTAGGACAGAGTAGAACTTACCCACAGGGTTTCCAAGGCTGAAGTCTTTATGAGAACAGACTGCCACATCTTTCTCCCGTGGAGCGGCTGATGGGTTCGAACTGCTGACCTTGCAGTTAGCAGCCAAACACTTAGCCAGTACTCCAGCAGGGCTCCTCAGTTTTGTCCTTAGGAGTGTAAAACTCCTTCATTAACTGTTTTTTCCTAGAAGAGGACAAAAAGATATTTTCTTCATTACCCTGAGCATAGATACCCAAAACAAAACCTGTTACCACTGAGTCAATTCCAACTCATAGCGACCTTATAGGACAGAGTAGAACTGCCCCATAGGGTTTCCAAGGCTTTAAAGTTTTATAGAAGCAGACTGCCACATCTTTCTCCTGCGGAGCAGTTGGTGGGTTCAGACCACCGACTTTTCAATTAGCAGTTGAGCACTTAACCACTGTGCTACCAGGGCTCTCTAAGCACAGATAAGCTAAGCTAAAACTTTCCAAATGATTTTATTTTCTATCATTCAGTGTTTAATAAACCAGAATTCACCTGTCTTTTAAAGTGTCTTTTTCTGATACTGCCTTAGTTAGGTTGCTCTTGAAGGCTAATAGGACTGATACCATTCATGGGACATCTTCTATAGAAAAGCTTCTGTATAAAAGGAGTCACATGCCCAGTTGTATAAAAATATCTTACTACAAACCTATACCGAACCCCCACCCCCATGTGGCTTGGAGTACATGCTTATAAAATAAATAATAATATGCAGATTCTTTCCTACGCAAATTCTAATATGTACATTAAAAAGACTACATTTCTTAGTAGTCTAAATCTATTTTGAGTGGATTTCCGTTTTAGTGGATATATTCCATAAAGCTCAACTTACTCTGTCTCCTGACTGATTTTATTTGGGAGTAAATGGGATAGTATTTTGAAAGGTGTTTAGTAAACTGTGACTTACCATATAAATGTAAGATGGTGGGGGTACTAATTGGAAGTAGACTGAAGTACAATGAAGGAAATTCTGTTTGCTCATTCTGATGTCCAATTTCATGCTGACAACTTAGATATTTGTCAGATAGCATTCTGTACAGACGGTACACAATTCAGGTTAATTCATTTCATTTAACTGTGAGATGTTTGTAGAAGCTTACTCAGCTCACATAAATAAATTTTACTTGGCTTATTTGCATATTACTCATTTATGATAGGAAATATCTAAAATAATAGTGACTTCATGTCCATGTCAGAATGAATTTTGACTTCATAATTCTATGCGTGTTTGTAGTTACTAATCCAGTATCTTTGTCCCTGTTGTCTCTAACCTCTGTGATAATAGAGACCTTGTCTGTCATATTTACCCTTGTATCTTTAGTTCTAAACCATTTTCTTGCACATACGGGTGGGAGGTTCAATAAGTATATGAATGTTTTGAAAAGTTTAAATTAGTGAAAAGAAATTTCTTAGCCAAGAGTCCCTGACGGCGCATGAGAAAAGTGGGGTGCAGAACGCAAATTCTAGTAAAAAGACCAGACTTAATGGTCTAACTGAGACAGGAGGAACTCCAGAAGACATGACTCCCACACTCTCTGTTAACCCAGAGCTGAAGCCATTCCCGAGGCCTACTCTTCAGACAAAGAATAGACTGGACTATAAGACAGAAAATGATACTTGTAAGGAGTGTGCTTCTTAGTTCAGGTAGATACACAAGACTAAATGGGCAGCTCCTGTCTGAAGGTGAGAGAGAAGGCAGAAGGGGATAGGAGCTGGTTGAATGAACACAGGAAATCTGGGGT